AAGAGCTCACGACCCAGAACATTTAGAAGAAGAAGAAGAAGAAAAAGAAGAAGAATGTAACTGGAAACGTAGAATTGAAGAGCTCACGACCCAGAACATTTCTCTGTAAGTAAACGATCTCTTTGGTTACAAAATAAAATGTGATTTGCTATTTTACGATTCGACAAAATAATTTTTAGGTGGTCAAAACGGGTGTATCTTATCAAAACCCGTATATGTTAATGCACTGTGACAGTGCTGTTGCACGTTGAAGACGCGTGTTCGATTCCCGTAGGTGGGATCTTGTTGGTTGTTGGTTTTTTCAATCGAGCATACACGTCTGTCTGTTGAAACGTTGTATCCCTCTCAGACCCGGTTGGCTCTGATAGGCAGTGTCGAAGCAGAATGTTTTCTATAGTACGTGTACCTGGATACCTGGAAGTGTCATCTCTGACTCAGAGGTTGTCGTGTTTCTCACCCTCCATTCTTTACGGTCGGGAGCTGCCATTGAACATAATGCCATATCCAGGCCAGTCCCTGTTCTTATGTTGTCCATCCATGTAATTCTTTGTCTTCCTCTGGCTCTCCTGCCCTACACATTTCCCTTCAAGCACCTCTTTCACAATGGTCTCGTGTCGTTTTATGTGGCCAAAGTATTGTATTTTTCTACATTTTTTATTAGTCAGTTGTGTAAATTGTGTTAATGAGGACGTAAATCATCAACAATTATAATTTAATTTGGAGTTTGTTTTTGCTTTTATTTTTAGAAATGTGACGTGATTGTCGTTCTACGACATGACAAAACCGTTTTACAGTTACCAAGTGGGTAGTAGGTGGGTGCTCTGGTGTGGCTGCTCCTTAGGATCTTTCCTATCGTCCTCTCCCCCTATCTCTCTTCCCTCTTTTTTGTGATTGTTGTTCTCTTGTAACATCTATAATCTTTGGCACTTATGTATCCTATAAATTGGTTTTGCAAGTGCCGTAAAACCAAAGAATGTACGGCTGGTTTGATCTCATATTCTTTCTTAAAGTTCACCGTTCTGGAAGTAGTATGCATGTGCAGATGGAGTAGGAATATTTTTTCTCGTGATAACGCTTCGAATGAATTCGTCGAGGTCGGGTATTGTTTTTGTTTAGAAGAGTAAAGTAAATGCACGGCTAGTGAAACTAGATGAATACTAGATGCGAGTGATTGGGGGGAGGGGGGGGCACTGTCTTTCTTTCCTTCTGTTATTTCTGTCTGTCTTGTATTTTTCCATGCACTAAATGACCTTTGTTCTGTCCCCACAGATGAGGAACTGGACGGAAAACTCAGGAACACTGTGGAGATTCGGGCCATGTGGAAGAAAGCGATTCTCGAGACCCTGTTGCTAATCCGGATGGAAAAGGAGAACCATCATATTCGAGGTCAGTAGTTCTTTGGGTCCTTTTGCACTGGTTCTCATACAATCGGCACATGGCGTGATTTGCTTTTTGGGGTTTCTTTTGTTGTTTTTGTTTTAATTTAATTTTTATATTTTTTTTGTTGGGGAAGGGGGGGGGGGGGGGGTATTTTTCTTTTCCGAGAATATCGGTCTTTTGCTGGAGGGCTGTGTCGAAGCATTCGACCTTCCAATTGATCATGATAAAATGGTGGTGTTGGTGGAATTGAGCATTCATGATTTTTTTATTTTTACTCATTAAAGGATGCACTATTTTTGGAAGGTTTAAAATCTTGCCTTTTCTCTCGTTTGTCTGAAACCCACAACATGTTCTTCCTTCCCCATCTTCCCTCACAATGTTTATCTTCCACTGTTCCACTTTACTTTGATATCGTATCTTACTGACATCATGTTAAACAAATTTAAAAAAACAGCAATCCCTTTGAACTGCAATGCCTTTAACCATTTTTTATTGTCATAATTTCCTTTCTATCTTCTTGCAATCATAATTTAAATGATATTATAAGGACACGGCAGCTATATTTTCCTATCGCATTTTTCTGCAATGATTGTAAAGGATATTATAAAAACGTAGAACAGTTATACTTTCCTATCGTGTCTAGGAGTAAACATGTACAGTGTTACAAAGACAGAAGTATTGTACTTTCTTATCTTGTCCCATCGTAATCCTTTCACCACAGAATATGAGACTGTTACACTTTCCTATCGTATCTTACTGTCATCATTTCAACAAGCTAACAAATTAATAAGGTACAGTTATAACGTTACTTCGTGACGGCAGAGGTATCGTTCTTGGTTGGTTTTTTTTGTCTGTCCTCAAATTTCTGCCTCCTTCTAGTTAACATCTTTTACTTTTCGAGCGAAATCCTAACAAACATGGGGTAATTTTTGCTTTCTTCGCTGCTAGATCTAGAAATTATCACACTTTGACTGCATAATCAAGAGTAGCTGTAACTGAATTGTTGCATGGTATTACTCTAAATGTACAGTTTGGAAATGAGGATTGCGGTGTCTTTGATCATGGGTAGAGAGACATGACTGTGATGGGAGTGTTATTTTTTTAATTTCTTTTTTTCTTTCAGTCTTACTTTCTTTCTTTTTTTCTTATGTTTCTTTCTTTCCTTCTATTATATTATGTCCTTGTTTTTCTTTCGATATTTCTTAATTTTTTTGTATTGTCCATATTTTCTTTCTTTCCCTTTGTTTCTTTCTTTCTGCGTTCTATCTTTCTTTTATACATCGACCTTGTTCCATATTTCAATCTCTCATCTTATCTTGATTTTTTTTCATTTGTTTCTACTTTTAATACTTCTTTCTTTCTTTAATTTTTTTTTTATTTTTTTTTTGGGGGGGGGGGGGGGGGTTCGGTCTCTTTCTTTCTTGCTTTCAACTATCTTTTCTTCGTCTTTCTTTCTTCTTATTTCTTTCTTTTTGTCGGTCTCTTTTCTCTCCTTCTTTTTCTTTTCTTTTCTTTTTTTTGCTTAACTTTCTTTTTTATCTTTCTTTCTTTCTTTCTTTCTTTCTTTCCCTTTTTCGAGATATGGATATATTGCAGACCTGTTGCATATATTGAAGGATTATGTTTCGTTCTACTAAGGAAGTGCTTGCCGACTTGGGCGAAGTCACCCACTTGTAGGAGATTTGGTTATTTTGGTGAGCGGTGAGGATACCACTGGTAGCGACAGGTATTGTTTAAGGGGTGTGGGGGGGGGGGGGAGCCGGTTTTAAATTGATGCTTTTCCGTCAATGTATAGTACCTGAAGTTTTTACGTATTATAATAGTCCAATCACTTGTAAATCTAAAAAGTGCTTACTCTTTGTGTGACAATCATCATCTTTCAGATTTACTGTCCTAGAACTTTCATTTTGTCTATTATGTAACAAAATGTCGTTTTTCTCAAAACTTCAATTTTGGTTGCTTTTTCTCATCTACTTTTTTATTTTATTTTTTATTCCAATGTAATTTTCGGAGCTGTTTATTCATACCATAACCTAACTTTCTACAGGTGGAAAATAAAATTGATGTATACATGAGTGAGTTACATGAATGATTATGTAATTGAATTCAGAGGCATGAAGGGGTATGTCAGTTATCCATCTGTAACTTTTTTCCTATTCAACATATCCAAAATCCCGACTGTATAACATTTTGTATTGAGTATATCTATCAATGTACCAACTTTGGTTGGTAAATAAAAAATCCTTTTTACTTTTATGAAAGCTGTTTATTTTCAATGTGTCGGCCGTTACCATGACAACGGCAGACTTAAACAAAAAAAACAAAGTTACATTTTACATGTTTCCTGTTATACCTCCTTGCTATAAGGCTTTATCTAAAAAGGCCATAGTTACCGAGATAGGTTTATAAACCAGCCCTCCCCCCTTAACGCCACGCTTGTAAATGACATAGTGTGTGTGCGTGTGTGTGTGTGTGTGTGTGTGTGTGTGTGTGTGTGTGTGTGTGTGTGTGTGTGTGTGTGTGTATGTATGAGTGTGTATGTGTGTGTATGTGTGTGCGTGTGTGTGTGAGTGTGTGTGTATGTCACGCTCGTCAAAATAATTAAATCTAAGAAACCGACATGTTTCTGCTAGCTTGGCCATTTCTGTCACTGTTTTTTTCATTTGGTTTTTTTTTGTCAAGAGTAGATCTAGGGGGGTTTTAGGGGGGGCTTGCCCCCTGACCTAATAAAAAATTATGGAGAATTTAGGGGGGGGGGGGTTCAAAGGCTTAATTAATTAATGGTCATTGGTCGCCAAATTTTGCACCGAAGTTGACGTCAGCTCTTTCCTTAATTTACTTGACTTTCAGATGTTGTTTTTTAAAGTTTCGTCAAGGGGATAACTCGATTGATTTAAATTCATTCGACTGCCTTATAGTACGATTATTTATACGCGTATTTAGAATTTGAGTCTATGATTCACTTCCTTTAGATCTGTGTAAAAATATACAGCGATATTTCTGTTTTTAAAACATGCCACGTCTGTCGGAAAATGATAGAAGGCGTGAGTTGGGAATGTCCCAGGCTGGAAGAATACAGCGAGATGTGACTCAGAGGCTCAACGCCCACAGAAACAGCTTTGAACATTTGTGGACACATTTCGAGGAGTCAAAAACGACGAACGATGAACCTAGACATGGCAGGCCTTGGATCATGACGCAGGGACAGGAACGACACATCCACAACGAACAGATTGCGTCCTGCATCACTGCAGCACGTCATGTCCCTGGATAAAGACCATTTCGGCGAGAACTGACCAGCCCTAAACTTCAGACAAACTTGAGCAATAGCTAGAAAAAAAATCTAGCAGCAGATTCCCCCAGTAGTTTATCCAACGACAATATCTTGTCCAAACGTCGACAGTGTCAGTCAATCATTATTGTGGCAGGTGGCCACACGCAATACTGATTTTGGTGAATTTGGAAATTGGGGCTCCCCTTGTGATGTACGCTCGTATATGTTTGTGCAAAAATGAACATGTCAATGAAAAATATTTCTCCTCATGACTTCTGCCTTGATGTGTGTTTCGTCTAGAAAAGGAAGTTATTCTCTGTGGAAAATTGGTTGCAAGTACCACATTTGATTTCCGTGACATGGTGACATGGTTTACGTTTAATGCTCTTATCAAAACTATTAAGTTATATAAGAGGCGGGATATCCTAGTTTGACGTCGATTTCCGAAAGGACCAAGCTAACTTGGACATTCTACCCACCGGGGTGTGCCACTGACTGAAGTGTCTTTAGGCCTTTCCCAAAGGGGGGACATTTCTCGTTCATGCACAGTAGATTTGTAAACGGGCCGATTCATCACTGTCACGCTCATAACTGTGCCAGGTCTATAACAGGGAACTGCTGCTTGTTCTTTCCTCATCCTTACTATTGTCATTTTTCCTCTATTTCTTTTGTATGTTTGTCACTCTTGTGACCTGCTATTTCCGGGGTGCCTTGATAGTTGAAGCAAACCTTGTGCTGTTGAAGCTAGAGAGGTGAGCAGAGTAAGTCTGGCTGATTCCCTGTAAAGACTTCTCTGTTGACATCCAACCCTTGGCGCTCATATGACCGTATGCAGTTACGAGTACCGTAAAACCTCTACTAAATAAAAATGATAACTAGGACATTCGTGCAAAGTGCCTTTTCCAAGGACACAACGTTGGGCCGAGCTGAAGCTCGAACTGCTGAGCTCGCAATCTCCTGATTGCGGGTCGGGTAGCCTACCCATATGAAGCTGACAAGGATCTCATGAAAATTTGTGATGCCAAAATTGCATTTTCAAGAGAACGTTAAGAATCTTGGCATCTATTTGGATTCCATTTGTCAATGTTGGCTGAGATAAATCAGCGACACCCTATTTCACAAACACTAGAATGATATTGCGCCATCATATTTATTAAATGTGTTTCCTATAATTTCCTACACTGGTTGAGCCAAAGGCTTTGACGACAAATATGAAAAGTACGTAATGTTTCATAAACTCACCCAGTGCTCCCTATGATTCATTCATTCATTCATTCATTCATTCATTCATTCATTCATTCATTCATTCATTCATTCATGCATTCATTCGTTCATTCAGTCATTCATTTTTCCATTCACTTATTCGTTCATTCTTCGATTCATCCATCTATTTAAAACGTATTGTTTAATCTGCTGATTTGTCCACTTGTAAACAAATTCCTTCATCTCTTCTTTCATCAATTCTGCCATCATTTTTTAAAATACGGTATATGCAGGGTTTTTTTCCATTTTACAACAGAGCCAAACAACTGAATGTTGTTACCTAAAGAACAGCATTTGCTTTAAAGATGATAAGGAAGTTGTTATGAAAACTAACAATATTGACTGGGGATGTTTGTAAAGAGTTTGTTTTCTTGGTAACAATATTTAGTTGTTGTATTTTTTTAGCTCTCCTGTAAGATGTGAAAACTGTATAATATACTGTACTTTTTAACATGACATCAGACTTTTTTTTCTATAATTCTTTAATATTGTCTTGTTCAGAATGTCCAGCAAAGACGTGGGGAAAAGTCTGTAAGGAAGTCTGTGATGGACGATGTGTAGACCAATTGTGCCACCACGTCAATGGGACTTGTAACGACTGCCAACCTGGGAAGGAAGGAGATCTCTGTGAAAACGGTGTGTGGTGTTAAATGAATGCAATACAAGTTACCCGGGTAAAACTGAAGGCAAAACAAAACGTGACAGAGACAGACAACTAAGAACTAACGTATAGGGCTTGGTCACATGAGTAACGGGAAAAGAGCAGGATAGTACAGGTTTTGTGAAAGCATCTGAACTGAGAACTGAATGGAGAACTATGGTCGGCGATATATAATATCTGTTTCAGGTCTGGCACCTAGAGAGAGAAGACAAATTTATTACAGAAAACGCAGAACTAACTGTGCTCCTATAAAAAATAGATCCCGAGTGACCTTATTCCACCTTTAGAAAGTTGGAAGTAATTTTGAAAACTCAAAGAGTACTCAATTAGGGCGTTTTAATTTTGGTTTAATTTTACAAGACGCCTGTGCACATTGAGCTTGGTTATGATATATTTGCACCTCAGGGATCTTTAACATGCGCATCTTGCACACGGGACCTCCGAGAATTTTTTGCCCTTCTCCGAGAAGGCTAGGTGTTAGATTTTACCTACCCTAGGACCAGGGGTGTGGCTGAAGGTCTACAGTCAGAAGGAACCAATGAGCAGCGGTGGAAAGCCAGCAGAAAGGGTCTGGAGCCCGGAGGAGGGGACGGGTTGGGGGCAAAAAGTTGAGACGAAAGCAGACGACAGAACATGTTTTGAGAGCAGGGTAGGCGGTGAAAGGAGAATTTTTTAAGAGAACAAAATTATCAGGTTTCGAACCCTGGGCCTATTGAATGAGAGACTAACACCGTCCCTCTAGACCACGAGAGCCCCCAATCTATTTTCATCATCCTAAAACATTATACGTTTTCTATAATGAATTATTATTATTCTCCAAAATCTGTTCCCGCAATAACATGTTTTTATCTGCGCAGACAGCCAAAACCTTTTTAAAAAACTATAAGAACATGTTTGTATTCTACAAGAACTTATAACAATAAACAATCTTTTATCTTTTTAGGCTGAGCAGATGTATTTCTATAATTAGCTTTTTTCCTGAACCGTTTCTGTTATTAGCGTTTTTCATTATGAGTTCTTTTTCTCTCTACAGACTGTGAAGACTTTGCCTACGGCAGTCGCTGTGTGCACCAGTGTAGTGGAAAGTGCTCGAGGGATGTCCCCTGTGACAAACGAGATGGAAGCTGTCCGGATGGTTGTACCTCTGGCTATCTAGGAGAGAACTGTGATCAACGTGAGTGATAAAGAAAAACAAATGGACAGAAGAATAGGCAGATGGAGAGAAGTGTGTACATAGATGTGCACAGGGAAGATAGAGTGAAAAGAGATATAGATGGATGGAGGATCAGATGGGTGGGTGGATGGATGGATGAATGGGTATAGATATGGAAAAACGAAAAAAAAAAAATGAATTGACACAAGAATATGTAAGTGTACTAATGAGGTATTGAGATATTGATGGTGTTCAAACCCGAATGTCACTTTTTAAGAGCTAGGTACACGTACAGAAACCAGAGGTGCTATGCATACTATGTCCTTCAATCAATCTCCTGGTGCCGACTCTGGTCCAGCAGAAGCCTTTGCTTTTAGTGGCTATTCTCTGTTGCGTGTCTTTGAATTGCTATTTGCAATGATTATGTATTGCTTACTCATGAAGAATCCAGCTGGCAAAACAGAACCATTCTGTGAAATACATGTATACTGTGGAAACCGGCAAATAAATCCACAAAAATGCAGGATATAACATATGTACCAAACGGCAGGTGACGGGTAATCTTGTTAAAATTACAGAGGCATTTCTCTCTTGTCTATAACTAGTAAGGTCCTGCCCCTGGTTCTTCTAATCGTTTTTTAAAGATTCTCTTTTTAAATGACATTTTGCCTGAAAACCAACGTGACTTCCACAGGGAAAGGGGTACAGAGAAAAAAAAGATCTATGCAGCCAGGCTTTTCTGTAAGTCGAGAAGGTTTATATAAAAATCCTGATGAAATTATGATTGTTCGCCAAACATAATACTGTGGATCACCAATTTTACTACGGCATGTCATCCAGAAACAACAGTTATGGTCTGCAGTATTTTATGACAAATGTATGAAGCAGGGTTGCTTTTTGGCACTAACACTTTTCGGCATTATGCTCTCAGCGATAATGCATGAAGTATTCGAGAGATCCCCTGCTGGTGTTAATATCAGGAGCAGACTGAACGACAGTCTTCAGTTACCCTCGGCTGCAGGTTAAGACAAAACGAGTCTGGTGCATGTCTTCGAACTGCTATTTGCAATGATAGTGTTTTGTTTGCTCACGAAGAATCCTGCATGCAAAACTACAAGGCATATTGATCTCTTGTTCTACATGTGAAAACTGAAGCACAAGAAGCACAGCAAAGACATAGGCGGCCCTCTTCCAGCCTGTTCCTGGCGGTACGCAGACCCCCCCCCCCCATCCCTAATTCAGATATTAAAATACATGTCTGTGACACAATACTGAGGAATGTTATTAACCTGAAATATCTTAGCTGTAAATTGTATTTAATTAAATGCCAACAGGATGCAGAAATTACTTCATGTATGAATAAAGCCAGTGTATCCTAAGATCCTTTCAAAAGCTCAGAGCAAGGTTTGGGGATGGTGTGCAGTTCGCACGACGATAATTTATATTGTTGTTGTCTTTCCATCCCTGTTGTACGGTGCTCAGGCCTAGATAGTATACCAAAGATAAGGCATGAAGCTTAGGAGCTTAGTCATTCTCGTGTGAAATTTCTCAGAAGAATTCTTGGTATCAGATGGCAGGACAAAATACTAAGACATAGAAGCTCTTCTAGGTAAAAATACTAAGATTCTGTTTTCTATACCAAAGAGAAATCAACTTCGCCCGGCTGGCCAATGGCCATGTTGTGGGAATGCCTGATTTCAAAATACCAAATGGTCTATTTTATTCTAAGTTGTCCTTGGGGAAGCGTAAAGTTGGTGCACCAGAAAAATGCTTCAAAGACACCTTGTAAATATCTCTGACGGACTCCAACATGAATCCCTTGACGTGGAACAGCCCAGGTCCCAACATACCCAGTTGGAGAGCAGCAATCACAAAGGGTAGCAAATCACAGGAGGCTTCACGAATTAAAAATATTCTGGTCAAAGGACTAGTCCGCAATCTGTGCACACATACGCGTACAAATCGAAAAGAAACTTTTACAGGCTCAAAATGTGGCAAATTCGTCTCTACTATTATTTGCTGTTCTTGACCGGATCAGAGGCCACAAGGAATTGCAATCCTTATCGAATAAAAAGAGAAATGTCTGTTTCGCTGAACAAATTGGTCGCTTTTAAGCACACGGGGCTATCCCGAAAAATTCTGTTTTGAGAAAATTGAAGGTAAGGTTTTTGCCCCTTGTTCAGTTTCTTTTAAAGACAAGGAGAGTTTTCTCTCTAACCAAACAAACATACTCACCACTGAAAGCAAACTTCTCCTATAGGTAGGGCAAAGTCCACTTTTGGTGTAGGTCAAGATTTCTGGAAACCCCCGAAATCTGGGTTAGCCCGCTTGTCTTAAAAGCGACCAATTATATGTGGCATCATGGCAAGATAATACGCTCGTCAAAATAACAAAATTTAAGAAAAATTTAAGAAAACGATATCTTACCGCCCTTAGGGAAGTTTTCATTGATTTTTCTCTTTTTATTTTTGGGGGTTGAGGGGTGGGGGGTCCACACCTTTTATCTCCATTTAAAAACACATTTCTTTGAAAACGTTAAAGCAAAGAAGTATCCAAAGACACTAAAGCTTTTCTTGCTAATTTCAGTTATTACACCAGGCAACCCTCATCTCCTCCAACACCTGCAATTGCAAACATCTTGACTTCTATTCAAGATAGATGTGTATTTTTTCATCAATATCATGCCAAATGAACACGCTTTAATTAAGGTAACACCAAAAACTCTATATATGCTCTAATAATTATTGACCAACACCTGATTCCACAGTGTCGTCATATTAATATCATCCTCAACAGATAAACTGGTCGTCCTCGGACATTAACGGATGAACGCTTATTAATTATTATGTATACTAACGACATTACTGGTTCGCAAAGCAATATGTGCGTCAGATGTGTGAAAATGCATGTATGTGTCAGAGAAAAATACAGAGATAGAGAGAGACATAGGAGAGACTGAGAGAGAGAAAGAGAGAGAGAGAGAGAGAGA